GGGCTGGAGCGGGATGGGGAGGAGGACACGCGCGCTGCTCGGCCAGTCTGACGCGTCCCAGCACCGCCGGAGCGGTGAAACTTTAACGTGGGGCGTTAGCAGTGCTTTGGGTTTCCTACGCGAGACGCACGTGGCTCAACAGAATTAAGAGACCCATTTTTATGCGGCTTAAAAACAAAATAAAACCCAAAAATTCAGTAGTTTAGCAAGTTAAGAACTTGTAACAGTAAAATACCCCAAATACACTCAACATCACTGCTTTCCGAGAACGGCAACGGCCCGTGGGCGCTGCTGTCCCCACCGTCGTGGGAGAGGATCGGCCTCTTCAGTGCCTGGCAGAGATTTGTTAGCCAGGGGTTGGGCAGGGAAGCCACGGCACGCGTCCCCAAACCGTGCTCTGTGGGGCGCACCGGGCTTTGCCGGTGGTCTCTCTGCTGCACATCTGGGCAGATGTGGCTGCGTTGACTCGAGAGGTGACCAGGCGGCTCCACGCACGCGCTGCGAGAGGCCGCGTGCTGCTGCCAAATGGAAAAAAAACCCAAAAACAACCAAACCCAAAACCCAAAGCAAACGGGTTCCACCACGCTTAATTCAGGTGACTCGCGGTAGTTTTGGTTGGCGAGTTGGTGGCAAGTGTCCCCCTCCCCACGCGGTTTGGCCCGGGCTCAGCCTCAGCAGCATTTTTAGTGGAGTTCTTGAGTTTATCCATCCAGACCTGGATACGGTGAAAGTTAAGAGTACAGCGAGGAGGGGGACAGACGCTGAAGCTGCACCTTCGCTCGTTGTCCGCAGAGGACAGTCCGTCGGTGGGTTCTGGGGTCTCCGGGGGTGTGTGGAGCGGGGCTGCGGGGAACGGCCCTGGCCCAACCAGAAGGAACAGTGACTCCAGTGTACGACTTCCAGTACGTCCAGGCACAGCCTCCCTTTCCGGGCCAAACTCCAGCGTTTGGCTCGCGGAGAGGGCTCCAGTGTTGAGCAATTCCAGTGTCGTGAAGAACCCCATGCGGCACATCTGGGAGCGCTGGGCCAGTAGAGGATGGAGCTCCCATCCGCGCGCCGGGATGTGGCAGATCCGTCCACGTTCAGTCCAGTGTAATGCTTCCGAATCCAGTGTTGCAAAGGGAGGGAGAAGCGCCCCGGGGGGACACGAGCATCCCAGTAAGGGGAGGAGAGAGCCGTCGGGGATGGTGGGAGTGGGTGCGAGGTGAGCCCAGGAGATACCACAAGGCTTTGGTTGTGTTTTCCGGGGCTTAGGTCCTATGTTCCGCGTGTGCTGTGCTTCCAGTGCCTGTGTCATCAGCCACAACCAAACCGGCTCCGCGTTCCCCCGTGGCGGATGGTGGGTGGGAAGGTGGGGCTGGGGGCTAGCGGGGGAGGGCGTACAGGAGTCTCCCCAGTGTCACCAGTCCCCCTCCTCTCTCCGACCAGAGGGCACTGGTGCTGCCAGGACTCACTCCCTCACTCACAGAGCCAGTAAAACTGAAAATAATAGTCAGTGAAAAGGTGTCCCATCTGCTCGGGAGCGGCGCTGCAGTTGGCTCGGCCCTGCGGGAGAGCGAGAAAAAGAGCTTAAAGACGGGTAGGATGCGTATTCTGAGGTTGGGGAGGGGGGGGAATGTGCCTGAGTTACGTGCCGGGGGCAGAGAAACATCACACCCGCGCGCCCCACGCAACGCTGGAAGGCAACGGCCGCGCCGGAGGGGGCTGCGGAAGGCGCTCAGCGCGGCGTGGGGCGCTAAAGCTGCCACGGTCGCACGGCTCTGGGTCGGCTCAGCCCCGGGCGAGAGGAAAGATGGAGCAGGTGCTGGTACTCACAGGCTGTGCGACTCTGAAGTGGTAGGTGAACTCCCGGAAAGACATCATCACGAGAGGCCAACGGTGCGTTGTTTCCTGGGGAAGCAAAGGGAGCAGCTAGGATGAGATGGGGGCTGAACATCTGGAGATGTTCTCCCAGGACCCGCACAGCCCTGCGCCGGCGAGTGGAGGAGGAACCTCGCCAAGGAAAGGTGGGATGCAGGCTGTGGGCAACGCAGACCCGCGAAACGCCCCCGAAGGGATTTTACGAGGACGCGTTCCGGCACTTTACAGCCTGGTCTTCTCCCCACAGCCCCGGGGCTCGCGCGGAGGGGTGCGGTGGGATGATTTCATACGTATCGGGTCTACAGACCCCCTCCCCGGTGGGGTCGGAGGGGTGTCTGAGGGTCGTTGACGTTAGTCAGTGCAGAGCATGGCTATGGCTGAGCCCGAATTCCCTCCGGCAACCCCTGTGCTGCTGTAGTCCCTTCTGGAGGGATGGGCGTCGTGCTGGGATGACACAAACGTGGGCTCGCCGAGCCGTACCTGCGCGTCTGTGGCATCGGTGGAGCTGTTCGTGCTCGCGGCATCCTGGCAGGGGTCGCTGGAGACAAGGCCGCAAAGGGAGACGGACACAGCGGAGGAGGAGCTGGGGAGACGAGACACAGTAAGACGCTGCCATCTCTTCCCCAGCTGAAGTAGGAGACACCGTGGCCACAGGGCACAGCGTCCACCTGCCTTCAGGGGTACCGAAAGGCCGAAGAGATGAGCCCTGTCCACTCACTTCATCTCCAGGGTCAGGTTGGTGTTGGCTGCTGTGAGCTGGTTGATGGGGATGCGGTAGGTGAAGTTTCCACTCCTGGGGACACAGAGAGAGCGGTTAGACCTCACCACAGCGCTTCGGGTGGCTCTGAGGTGGCCAGGAGAGGACCCAAAGTCTCTGTTGGGCTGAAACTTCAGAGGGGAGGGCTCCCGAGGAGGAGCTCGTCACCGAACGCCATCCTCCTGCGCTCTGAGCTCCGCGGCCCGAGGAGCAGCGGGGGCTGTCTTGGGGGACGATGGCAGATGATGGTCCAAAGCTCCAGGAACTGCCCCATCTGCTGCTTCCCCTGGAGCTCCCACCAAAGCGCCGGCAGCCGGCTTCGCCTCGCTCACCTGCACGCGTCGGCGGCTGCGCAGTGCTGGGACTGGATGGCCATGTTGATCTCCGTGATGCGGATGGAGCGCAGCGCTGGGCTTGGCCCTGCGGGTGGGAGAAGAGGGTATTTAGGAACGGCAAAGGGACGGCAGCCGGGGGGAACCTGAGCGAGAAGGGCTGCCCGGCACTGAGACCACCTTTCGGCATCAGAGAGGGGGTCAGACGGCTGCAAGACTGCGCTAACACCACGTCCAGGCACGGAGAGGCAGGAGAAGGGGTGTCCCAGACTACGCCAAAATGGCTCGTCATCGACACTCCTTTCCCTCTGCTGCCGGCACGACCCAATCTGGGCATCTCTTCCTCTAGAGCTGACTTAGAAATGGCTGAGGGAGCCGAGGTGGGGGTAAGATGGTTTTAACTGGAAGCGGGGAGATTTAGATCGGACATAAGGCAGGCATTTTTTAACGATTCGGGTGGTGAGCCCCTGGCTGTGGTTGCCCCGAGAAGCTGTGGCTGCCCCATCCCTGGAGGTGTTCAAGGCCAGGTTGGACGGGGCTTGGAGCAACCTGGGCTGGGGGGAGGTGTCCCTGCCCAGGGCAGGGGATGGGACTGGAGGGTCTTCAAGGTCCCTTCCAACCCAAACCATCCTATGGTTCTATAAGAATGGAGATGCCACCACGGCAGCCTCAGAAGGGAACTAGCCACTGGCTAATATGGCCAGAAAGTGTAGGGCAGCACGGGGGAGGACGGGCAGGGCTGAAGCAACCTCCCGAATCTGGCTGCACTGGGAGAACTGGAGACAAACAAGCTGCAGAACGGGGACGCAGCGAGAGCTGCGCAGGCCGGATGAGACCCAACTGGTTGAGGATACCCCAGGAGAGAAGCCAAGACCCACGGTGCCGCTTGCAAAGAGGGAAGAAGACGGGATCTACCTACCATCCGTGCCGGGATCCTCCGTGCGGGGCCACTCGCTCACCGGCTGCTTGATGCTGCGCTGCTGCCGGCTCTGCCCCGGCGGGGAGTTGCTGCGGGAGAGCGAGAGGTTGGAGATGTACTTGGATTTGGCCTGGCTGTGGGTGAAGGGGGAGGAGGGGCTGGCATTGGGGCTGCCGAAGCTCTGAGACCTGTCAGGCGTCTTTGGCCACTTGGCGTAGGAAGAGGCTTTCCCGGCGATGCCCCTGGATTTGGCTTTGATATTTGTCACCGGCAGGAGTGAGGTCTGACTTTGGTCTGCGGAGAAAAGGGAGAGAAAGGTGGTGGTGAGAGGCAGAGGGAGGACGGCGGCGCTCCCCACCTCCGAGACCAGCGCCGAGAGACCCGCTCTACCAGCTCTGCCTTTGTCCTGTCCCCACGTCACCCCCTGACGTCCCGTGTCACCCCTTCCATGAGCAGCTGAGGCTTCCCAGCCTCCGCGCCCGAAGGGACTGGTGGGATTCTCGCAGCAGGACGTCTCCTGCCCTGTCCGATCCCTGCTCAAAGCAAACCGAGGCCAGACTGAAGGTATTGGGCGTCCCCGGGTCAAGAAGGACAGGGAACTGCTGGGGAGGGTCCAGCAAAGGGCTACGGAGATGAGGACGGGACTGGAGCATCTCTCTGCTGAGGAAAGGCTGAGGGACGTGGGGCTGTTCAGTCTGGAGGAGAGAAGACTGAGGGGGATCTTATCAATGCTGATAAATCCTTCAAGGGAGGTGCCGGGGGGATGGGAACAGTCTGTTCCAGTGGTGCCCAGTGACAGGACAAGAGGGAACGGGCACAAAGGTGACCATAGGGAGTTCCATCTTCACATGAGGAGGAACTTCTTGACTTTGAGGGTGGCAGAGCAGTGGCAGAGGCTGCCCAGAGAGGTGGGGGAGTCTCCCCCTCTGGAGCCATCCCAAACCCGCCTGGACGCCGTCCTGTGCCACTGCTGGAGGTGCCCCTGCTCTGGCAGGGGGTGGGATGGGGGAGCTCCAGAGGGCCCTTCCAACCCCCACCACTCTGGGGTTCTGTATGGCTGCTCAGCCCGGCGTAGCCTCTGCTGACTTCGTGCCCAGGACCCTCCAGGCCCCCCGTACCCCTGGCAGCGTGGATCACGGATGTCTGACCCGCGCCACGTGGCTGTTCATCCTGACAGTCCCGCTGTGCCCCGCTGGAGCGGGTCTCAACCCAGGCAGCGGGTGAGGAGGAACCCAGGGACCTTCGGAAGGGCAGGAGGCACGTCCTTTTCGGAACGCGCAGAGGTATGACTCGAGACGGGGATGGAGATACGGGGTGATGCGATGGTGAGACAGACCACGGTGTTGTCCCAGCACCTCCTGGGTGCCCGGGCTGGTACTTACCTGTCCGGTTAGTGGCATGAGTGGGACTGGTGTCAGAGAGGGCAACAGAGGAGACATTGGTGGGAGCAGCAGAGCAGCAGGTGGAGAAACACGGCGGGCTGAAGCAGGCTAACACGCTGTGACCAGGGGAGCCGAAGACTAAGTCGTGCGTGTCCTCTGTGACTGCAGGGCAAACAGCGGGGCCACGTGGAGAGGCATCTAACAGGAGCAGCACCGAGTGCCCCCGCCACCCCTCCCACAAAACCAGAGCCCCAGGACCTCCCAGCGTGAAGACAGACCTCCCCCAGTAAGGCACTGGCATGGAGGAGCAGCCGTGTTCCTCACCCTGCACCGCAACCCATCATCACGCGCGGCTGCCCGGCCCCCCGCCCCCGCCGCCGCCCAC